CGGAAACGGAAAAATAAGATTCCCGTTTATACTGAGTTAGGCAGAATTTTGATGTGAAATACTACCCTTTCCAATAGGACCTGTCAAAAATGCGTACTAACAGTATATTGTTACCCTTGTTTAACCGTCTGACTAGGAGCTGGTGATGCAGTTGATTTATATATGGTTCTGCAGTAATGTTGGCATACTAATTGATTCTGAAAAAACATGTGTGCCGAATTCTCTTCACAAAGGTAAGTGTAATCTTCACGTTTGCTTTTACATAGTAGGAACAATGGACTCTCAGTGAAGACTGATGCCAGAGCTCATTATACTACCAACTAATGTACTCTAGGCCTCATATGACTTCTGACATATATGTGCTCTACCCACCATTCGCAGAGCAATATTCAGGAAGACCTCAACTGGCTTCTAACTCAAGAAGGATATTCTTAGTCTCTGATTTGGCTCATATCAGTATATTTAGTCTCTGGTTCCGGTGTGGGATAAGCCAACCGAAAGTATGACATATGTGAAACTAGTTTCTATGACGTCAATACTTCATTCCATATAGACGGTGGAAACTTCGTGTATGAAAATGCAGGAGGCCATAGTCATTTTATAATGAGTTGAATACTGCGTAAAGGGGCATTTATAACTCTTTCTAGTACAATGAAACAATCTCCAAGCGGATTCAGTGGATATGAGTAACGTGGCTGATACATGTCTATTTGTAGATGGAACTTTTTTTGTTAGAACACAGTGAGGCTAATATTCTTAATGATAACTGACCTTTGGTACGAGGAAATACACTGCAATTATTTTGAAAATTAGGCACACTTTACCACGTTACAGTTTAATTTGTTTATGTATGTGTTACGTTTGAGTTGTCTTAGAGGGACATTCCGTTTATTACTCCCAACAATATACTACCAAGCTTTACTGAAGTTACTGTTTGTTTTTACACCTCAGTGAACAGAGACCGTCTTTCGCCAAAAAAACTAAACATGGCGTCCCTTTGTTTCATCCAGGAACCATATTCTCTAGATAGTTCTTCTTTCGAGTTGTGCTGGTTCAAAAAATAGAATCAGACCAATAGTACATAGTCGAAAGTTTACCGATTTGCCTCAGAACACCTAACACACGAAAAATCTGAATCACGAACTGCTTGAACATTGCAATTATTAACTGGGGAGTATTAGTATATGAACTTCACTAACCGCACACAACAACGGTGAGGGAAACAAGCAGAAAACTTGCATTCACATAGTTTCTCATCACACATTGCATGTCAGTGTGAGACAGAGTTCTACCACTAATGTTTCAGCAGTGTCTTCATAAGAGACCATTTGCTGGTTTTGAATTAAGGACTTTTTGTTTATGTGGACTCGTTAAAATTCTGATTCCGTGGGCCGTGCTGGTAACTAGCCTACGGTAATTGATAATAATGAGTATGGATTTATTCTCAACTTCGAATTGTTTATAATTTTTCAGTAATATTTCAATCTTTAACCAACGAATGACAAATTGCTTATTTGCCTTTGTTTAAGTCAATCACTTTTCAGCTATGTTAAGTTACATGAAAAACAAACTTTTCGAAAATTTTTCTGGCTTCTACTTTTCATAAAAAGTGGCGGTTACCACTTACCATGTAAATCCACTAGCACGTTCTCAGTCCCAAATGCTTTGTTTCTAAAAATTTGGTTCCAATTTCTTAATAATAATGCAAGTGACTACATATTTGTGAATAACCATGAGACGTAATTTTGAATTTTACTGAAATAATCCACCTGTACGGTGTAATTCGTACAGTTTTTCTGTATTTATTATTCACAGATACTTTTTACTCGAACGGAAATTATTTAAAATTCACAATGTGCATAAATATTAATAAATTTATTTATATATTTGGTAAATGGGAATTTTTTCTGCCCACTGTGTTCTGAAATAACGCTGATCGTGCCTGAAAAAAGAGGTGGGTGCTGAATTGAGTCTTTTCGTTCTCAAGTAACTCTAGTGCGTGCCTTATATGTCCTGTGAGGGCTGGAAAAACGCTGATGAGATACCTAGAAAAAGAACACGGTGATGAATTAGTGACAGTCATGCTCGAAACCAGCACTGAGTTCTAGTCTGTGCCATTAAAGAATCGATTTCAGAACAGATTTAGAATTTACGTACTATAGAAAGAATTAGTGAGATTTAATTCAGCATTATAGTAAACATGGGCTGCGATACGTATACGGTAGTCCTCATTTATGTGAATCATTCATTGTTAGAAATTAATACCATGAGTAATACTTCTGTTGTTGTGAAATATGCCATGTATTTAATGCCAGGACAATTATGTGGGTAAATTTGTTTATTATCGGAATGATAATAATTCCGATGATTTTTTGTAGGCACCTCAAATATCTAACACCTCACGAAAATTGCAGGTATAGATCATAGCTGCGTTATTTTGTTGTGATGAATTGCAAATTGATCTGAATCATTGTAATCTTGGACTCGCATATAATTCCGTTTCGCTGAGAAACGTTTCCCAGTCCCTTATTTTTTTACTGATTGAGGATAGAAGGCTTGGAGTCTACGTTAATCACTGTGCCTTGTGGCACTCCGCTACGCACTGCTGTCCAAGAGGAGAGTTTCGAGTTCATCCTGACCCCCTGCCTCCTATCTACGACGAACTCTGTAATCTGCTTTAGTAAGCTGCCTTTGATCCCAAGACTTTCCAGCTTTATGAGTAGTCTTTTGTAAGGAACTTTGTCGAAGGCTTTGCTGAAGTCTATGAAGACGAAGTCAACGGGTCTTCTGTTGTCCTTTGAATCTACTCAGCTTTCTCTTGCAGTGAGAAGATTCGACAGCCATGAGAGATTTTCTCGGAAGCCATGGTGTACTCTGGATAAAAAATTGTTGTTTTCCAGATGTGCCATGATACTTTTCTTGATGATTCTTTACAGTGTTTTGATTAAAGTGCTAGTGAGACTAATAGGCCTGTAGTTTGAAGAGCTTTGTCTTTATCCTCCTTTGTGGATGTGGGTTACTGTGTCTTTCCAGTTATGCGGCAAAAATTCATTTAGGAAAGATAGCTTGAAGATCGTGGTCAATGGGCCGGCTATGTCAGCTGATAACTCCTTGGGAAGCCTTGGATGAAGGTTATCAGGACCCATTGGTTATCCTGCATCTAGTTTCATTAGGCAGTTGAGCATGATGTCTCGATCGACGTCAACGGAACCTATCCTGTGTTTCTCTGATGCAGCCAGAGCTGACCCTGTGGGGAGTGACGACTCCTGTGTAAAGACTTGGGAGAAGTAGTCTGCCATTGCTTCTGCTTTTTCTTGATCTTCTTTGATTGTGTCATTGCCAATAGTCAGGCTTGGGACACCATTGGATGTTTTATTCCTGAAGTTCATGTACGAGAACATTTTCTTCAGTTGTGCCGTTGCATTCTGAGCCAGATGTGCCTCGAACTTCACCCTTGACTGGCGGATTTTTGCAATAGCTCTGTTCCTAGAGGTGTTGTATAATTTTCTGGTCTCAGGACTCTCAAGGTTCCAACATTTGTGTTTACGTCTGAGTAACTTGCAAATCTCTTGGTTTATCCAAGTGGGGCAGTGTTTCCGACCCTTTGGGGCAGATTAAGGGCGTAAAGTTGTTTAAACTGGTTCCATGAGGCTTCTTCTTGGGACTCTGGGTTTAATATACCAGTCCACTGATTTGGCTTCTGAGACGATCGCATTTATATCAGCTTTCCAAACCTTTGGTCGAGCTGGGGTTTTGGCTCACGATACTGCTGCTGTGAACTTGAAATTGAGCACACAGTGATGATCAAAGAAGTTGTCTCAAGATGTCGTTGTAAGTCTTTTCCAGTCAGTTGTTGGGACGTTGGATTGGACTACAAGACTTCGACATTTCGATGTCCAGGAGCCTACCTTATCTATTAAGAAGTCGTCTGCACTGCAGTCACGACTGCGGTATATAGAAATGAGGTCAATATCTTGGCCTTTGCATTTAAGTCCGCAGCGTAGAAGTTTGCACGATTAACTTTCGTGAGCGAGTGCTTCGATGCTTCGCACGGTTAAGCATTCCTTGAGGTAGATGACTACGCCACCTCCTTCGCGGCTTAGTTGGTTCACCCTATGCACTTTGAAGTTTGTCAGGTTAACTTCGTTATCAGTGACATTGGGTGTGAATCACGTCTCTGTAATGATAATTACCTCTGGATTCCTGGAGTCTATCATATTACCCAACTTAGTCTGTTTGTTCGACAGGCTGCGGGCATTTGTGTGGCAAACTATGAACTCAGTTTGGTGCTTCCGCGGCCTACACACTGAGGTTTCAGGATCAACAATCCAAAATCCATTAATCTTAAGGTTCTTTTCCCCGTTTCGGCGTCGTTTGCTTAATTCTAGCTGCGCATGCTGTCTTTTGACGTGGTCTGCTAGACACAAGTCGGCACGGATGTATATACCTGATCCTTTGAGAGTTTCTTAGACTAGCATCCCTCTCTTCTTTAGAGTTTAGTGTGACTTTGAGAAGGCGTGCTGGCTAATATACTGTCGAATCAGGCATTTGGCCGATTCTATATAAGCTGTGTATGGTTATGCCTGATACTGTTTTTGGTAGTAGCTTATCTAAGAGGGGCTTGACCAAGTTAAGATCATGCTCGAACCTGATCTTAGGATCGGAAGCCGGTGATTCTTCCACTTTTTGGAGAATGAGCGACCTGTAAGACAGATCAGGTTTGCTTGCCATGGTTTTCTTGCTCTGCGGCGTAAGTTTCTTCCCGTCCTTCGTGGACAGTGTGGCTATTATAGTGCAAATGAACTTATCTAACTACCTGCTATTGGTATTACTGCCTATGACACATTTTTGAAAGTCTGTGAACTTTAGCGTAGTGATGCGAACTAAAAAGTCTATATACTAACACAAATGCATTTAATAAACCAAATCGTATTTAGGAGTTAAGGCAGTCTGTATAAAAACTGAAGTGTTTTACTGAACTTCCTTAAATTTTCAGGCACATGTTACCTGTCCCTCCTTCCTCGGCAAAATGCACACCAACGTGGTCGTCGGTGAGACGAAAATCATGGCTTCATCCAATTTCAAAGGATTTTCTTACAAGCAGTCTGTCTAGAAATCATGTACTCGGGTGAGCTTTATGAGTTTATATGTTATTGTATTATTAATTCACCTACTTTTTGTTATCATTCTACCATCGACATGATAAAAGACAATCTATCTGTTTCTGCTGGCTAACATCTGTGGTTTCTTTCTGCTGTAGTCACATTTGAAATATGTCTCGAGCCTATCTTATGATTGTTGTGGCGAAAATATGTTCTTGGAATCTCTGTTCATCCTTATTGCGTATGCTTTTTGTATAATTTACTAGAATATAATGCGATTGCCAACTTTGTTTTCTATCTGTGCGTTGAGATTCTTTCGGAGACAATGTAATATCTGTCGGCTGTGTGTAGCAAAAAAGCTTTAGCCACATTATAATTGGGATAAAAGAGGTGTGGAATAAAGTTTACACAAATGTCACGCTCGGACCAAAACTATTGACAAAGAATCCGGCATTAGTGCATAGTGGTTCAAACAACCACATCTCATATCGACCCATCTTACAGAAGGTAGCACAAAGGGATACCAAAATGAAAAAAATGCATCCCACAGTTGCATGTTTTTATAAGAAAATTGAAGAAAAGACTAGTTAGATAAGTAGGTGTGATATTTAATGAAGTCTATGAGGAATGGTGGGTTGATCGTTGTCATTTTTAAATCAGATTGCACTGAATTTCTAACCATAAATTCCTGAGATCACTGATAAATAAAGTGTAATAATCTTGATTAATTTTTAGTCGAAGGTTTGAGTAAAATATTTCCTAGAGGGTGATGAAATACCTGAATCAGTTTTATACATTTCATCAATGAAATTTTCATAATACATAATGCGATGTTTAATTATCCATAGCTTTACATCATAGTTTGGCAATCACTAGAAACTGGTCTCTTAGCCAAGTGAATCGAGTTTTCTCCACCGTTGTGAAGTTATGTAACTACAATCAAAGTTCCTCTAAATGGTGTAAAGTAATTTATTGAATATTACGAAACTTACCGATTATTACTGCATAATTCCAGTTTTCATGGGAGTAATTGTTTGTCAAGTGCAGGACGATATACTGCAAATGACGTCACTGAACTTCGTGCTATAAATGTGAAATCAAACTTTCTTATAACGACTCATTTTAACTGATTTTTACTGTGCGTTTTTCTCATTCTGCATTATATTTACGATTAAATGTTACGTGAGAAATTTCTGTATACACTTTGTTTCTTTCTTTAGAGACAATGGAAGGAATGAAAATAAGCCAGTCTTATTGCATAATCACTCGGTTAATTCACAAGTGCAACCTATTAGAATGCTTTCCATTGTAAGTCTTGTCAGTTTTTTAGCAGTAGGTTGCTAACAATATCTAAAACTAAGAAAAACCTGTTCTGCTGTCGGGTATTTGTTTATCAACATAATATTTAGTGAGAATCCTTTGACTATAGTAATATCTAAGTACCACACCGAATGAAAACTAAAAAATGTTGATATTTGGGAATATCCAGCTACCGCCTTAAGTTTAATATTGACAATCACTGAAGCTTCATGTACTATTAAACATATTGACATCTCGAGGGCGTTAAGTAAAAACACTATGTAAATAATGTGTAAACTCAGCATGAATATTAGAAACACCTTCCACAATTTACGAAAAACAAAATGGATTTGTTTCAGTACTAGAGAATACACCAGAGCAGTAGCAAAATCTTCACACAACTTTTCCCCTTGAAAGCATATGTAGAAATAATTACAAGAATAATATAGAGTTTAGAAGGGAAGTTGAACATTGATTAGAAGTGTATATGGTCCACAACATATATTACACAAGGTTTAAGTAATTTAGTTGAGTATAAGTCAAAAATGGTCAGGCCAGGGGTATGGATGGAGACAAATTTAAGAGTATGAAAGTATTTTATCAAAACTAAATGTAGTTGAAATAATATGAAATATATTCACCACGTAAGGCGGGACTAACAACAGTATTTCTTTCTAAATAACCAAATTTAGTATTAAATGGTTGGAGGCAGTCGGCAGGAACCCTTGGACCCAGGTTTCGTGCTAGTTGGCGCTCGTCATCAAGGTGTGTCTGAAACCTTGAAAGGACTAATGTCCCATCTGAGATTCAAAATTGCGTCATCCAGTGCTGCACTCAGCATGGTGGCCACATTGCGAAATTGGCCGGTAGAATTCAGTCTTCACCAACACCAAGGACTGGACACATTACATCAGTTACTATCTAGTGTCCAAAGAAAACAAATTAAGTTCTAACTATTCAATGACTGCCACTACAGTGATACGTAATAAACTGGAACCAAATTGGATTTTGATTATCTCACATAATTTCAAAACATCAGACAATAGAGCATTGATTTCATGGCCACTATCTATGTAATACCAACGACCTCCAAATTCCTTGTTAGAAACTAAAATATGCATTGTGTAGGCTGATATTACAACTATTTTAGGTTGTATGCAGTTGACATGAACCAACAAAAGTAAACATCATATTATGCTGCCCAATTTGTTGTTCTTGTTTTGTTCAAATTTGCTAAAGCGTCGACGACTGTCAGCCAACAGTTTGCTTGGTACTTCAATATGCTTCCATTTCACAGAATTAACATTATTAAAGTCATCGCTGAACTTTTAAAATAAATCATCCTTTACAGTTGGGCGACAAATTTTTAAATATATGAGGTAAATTTATGCTAGTTAAGCAGAAGCTTTCTTAAAAGTACACAAAGTGTATATTTCGAACTTGAATCTATATTATATTTGCCAATGAAATAACAGGTCTTGATGAACCAATGCTTCGGGAATGGAAAGCAATATTTATTTTTTCCATATCAGGAGATATTTAGAAAAGATGTTTGAACAACGTTATTGTTGATTTATTGTATGAAAGCTAAAGTGTGTTCTGCTTATTACAAGGCCTTACGTTGATATCTGATACTGCGTCATATTTAAAGCGAATAACAATTCGACTGTAATTACAATTAAGGGCCATTATGTATGAATTCAGTGGTTGAAAAGGAAAATGCTTGCCTGGAAATATTTCAGCCTTCATTTCAAAGTCATGGGTGTATACCCCTGAAGTCTCCGAACTAGAATGAAACAGTTGTTTAATGATACTTGATGATATTTACTTTGCAGTAAGCTTTTTGCTATAAGACAAGTTAACATGCTATACTTCGTTTATTACAAAAATCAATCCTGAATATTTTCAGGTTGCTTATTACTCATAGTTTTATTCTAAATCGGAAAGATTTATACTGTAGTACTCTAGGAGGCCTTTCACTGTTAAAACAATAACTTGCACTCTGATCCCACTGATTTCATACTGAGAAAATTTTCAAATGAATGAATAGAACTTAATAAAGCTTGGCAATGCATATTACCAAAATCTAACGAAGTGTTGTCTGTTGAGCCTCACTGTGGTTTTGTTTCCTAATTTTGAATTGAAAGAGGTGCTGGCTGATACAACATTTGCTTTGTGGTCACTATTTATATTAAAATTACATATATACGTACATACACATAAATCAAGATATGGTTTTTTATGAGTATATTTAACATCATTTGAACAAAAAATTAAAATCAAATATCCAAACTGTTTGGTTTTTCTTGTTCATTTATGCCTACTATTCACCAAACTATGCCATGCCACACAGCTTTTGCATAATCCTCTAGTAAGCTGGTAAAATTGATGTCCCATATTGGAGAAGAATGACATCTCATCTCAGATATGAGTCACTGAAGAATAAATCATAAAATTTCTTGAAGGGGATAAAGGTGTCAGTTTTAATAATGCCTTGTAGTGCTGAAATATTGTGTGCCAGTAAATGTAATACATTCATAGCGTTTGAATTACCAAAAAAGATAGTGTGTAAACTCACTAATAAAGTTTGAATTACCTTTATATTTGCTGATTATAATTTGGGATGGCTAATTTGTAACAGTATTACAGAATGTTTCACTGCTGACCAAGTTTTCTTTTCTGCGGTATTTCGAAAATAGTGTATTTGTGAACGTTTCTACCGGTTTTTGTTTGAATGAAACACTTAATCTCCCAAGTATCTTGACTAAATTACAAAGGAGAGTATATTTCTCGGTGGTAGGAAACTGCATTCTATCACAGAATTAGTTCTCATATATTTTAAATTCAATCACTGTGGATTCGGTAATTAAATGATAGTTTCACATTGAATAGTAAAAGATTTCATTACTAATCACATTTAATTGGGTGTTCCAGTCAATTTTACTCTTATTTCGGTAGACAATACTCCTGCAGAGTGTCTCATTATTTTATTGACCATTCATGTAAGATCACTTTTGATTTCTACTTTAACTTTGTTAGTCAAGAGAAATATCTTCCATCTAACTTAGGCACTTTCTTTAATACTGTGTCCTGTCATTTTATTTTTGTAGAAAACACCCAAAACCCATGAAAACCAATATCGTCTCATTCTATGTAAACCTCCAATGCCAAAAGAAGAGTTCCTACTACCAGCTAACACAGTTTTAAGCAATACTAGAATCCCAAAAAATAAACGTAAACTGAAACCGTCTAATGATATTCAACTTTTGCGATCATCTGTCCAGCTTCCAGCGTTACCTCATGAAAATGAAAACCTAAACAGACTTTTGCCTTTGAATGAAATCAAATCATTTGCTAGATCTGTTTCAAAAATTGAGAAAATGAAACAGAATTCTGTAAAGTTGAACTTCCTGAAAAGTCATTTATTACTGAATAATTATGAGTTATCAAAGCCAAATGTATTTCACCTGTTAAATTTGAATAAGAATCTTTCTAAAACGAAGCAGCAGTTTGGTAGGCTTTTACAGCTTCCGCACTTACAGTGGTCAGACAATAAACACGTTGATCCTGGTAGAAATAAACAACGTGAGAATCCAAACAAAACACCATTTTCAAGTTCTAGAAGAAGTTTGGATTCTAATTGTCACAGTTCAGCATATAAACCAAATCCAGAAGATAATACATTGCCGATAGCGACTTATCCAATTATAAGTGAACAGTTTAACGAGGATCAGCTGACACTGAATGACATTTCATGGGGAGTTGATACTACAAAAGATAATATTATGAAATCTAAGCGTCCTTCTACTACTCAAAGGAATTCAAATTCACCTGTTCACAAAAATGACTTCGGAGTTCAATTTAACTTTGTAGATTATGGTGGACCGAAAACTGAAAGTAAGTTAAAGAGTGATATACAGCTAAAGAGAGTTTTCACCGACTCTCAGAAATGCTATAGAATAACTTTCTGTGTATTTTAAATTAAACAGCTTCCAACAAATTTAAATATGTTGGTCACATGAGTTTTAGCCTTCTATGTCTGTCTGTCGCATATATTAGGTTCTATATTTGAAAACTGTTCCTCTTTAATTCAATATTCAAACAAAACTGAAAATTCTCATTTTTTTGACGACGGAGTGTTTCATCAATGTCTCCAAACTAGCGTATAATATTTTGACATGATAAATCAGTGCATACTGCAGTTAAATGTGTATTTAATTTTGTTTTTTTTAGTTGGATTACACACACCATTCAACTTGGAGAATTCCACATGTCCTCCATATTTCATCGAACAGTTGTTACAGAATGATATCACAGTAGGTTGTGTTATTATCTGTTATCTGTTTAACAATTCATTTTTTTAATCATACTTAATTAATTATATTCAACTTCCACAATATCCATTTCACTTCTCAGTCACTACACTGAAATGATGCGCTTGGAAATTCACGTAAAAGTATTCAGGAATCTCCTGAAGTATGTCAAAAATGTTTATCATTGACGGTTTATTGACTCCGTGGAGACACGTGAAAAATGTTTTGCAAGGCTCAGTGAAGCGAGAATTTCTTTGGACTTCATTCTTGAATGCATTGAGAGATAAAAAATGCTATATATATATATATATATATATATATATATATATAAAAAAGAGTAGAGCCTAGAAGAGGATCTAATTGAAAAGTAAATATTTCTTCGCTCATCTTTCTGTTTTCCAAATGTCTAAATGGGGATATTTTCTATATTATATATTCGCCTAGATTTTCAGTTTACAGTAAATGGGATGATGATGTTTTATACGGTGATTTTTTTATTTTTCCACCTCATTTTACTCCAAGAGGCAAAAGCAATCTGGCCATGCAGTAGCTCTTTGAATGTAATCTATTTCATTCATTTGAGATTAGAATTTTCTCTCTCAACATCTTTCACTCGAATACATAGACTAGCCTCAGAGTTACTAAGATGACCGTTTCAGGAAGTGGGAAACCTCTTTAAACGTAACTGTTATCATATATATATTATGTCAGTTGACAGGACGTTCCGGAATTAGTGAACAGTGCTCAGGAAATTACACATATATTTTTTACACAGGGAGACGTCCTGGTAACAGCATGAGTACTTGCGGGAGCAGTTACATTGGGAGAACAGAAAGAACGGCACACCTCCAAATTCCTGAACATGTACCGAAAGACCTAAGTCGCAAGGGAACAAACGCCATTTCTATGCATCTCTCTGATACGGGTCATGGAAATCACAAAATCCTTTAAAATTATCAATAGACAAATGAGTTCAATTCTCCTCAAGTTTGCCCAGGCAATCTCTATCAAACTCCTGAAAACCGATTTATGTGTTCAGTAAGAGGCAGTTATCAGTATTTCCTTACCCATGCTGGTAAATGGATGTCTTTATTCTCTCTTCCACTCAATTACGTAATCTTTGGCTTTAACCTCACCCCCTTTGATATAATGTAATTTTGATTGTCCCTTGTTTCTATGATTTGACTTAAACTCAGTACATTGTTACCCAATTTATCAGTTACTCATCATCTTACTCACCTCTTCTGTTTACTGTGTAACATAACTCCTTTACCACTGTATGCATGCATTTACTTTGTTTAAACTTGAACTCCCTGTGTAAAAAATATATGTATAATTTCCTGAGCACTATTCACTAATTTCGGAATGTCCTGTCAACTGACATCATATGGAAGTTGCGAGTATGTTAAAACTTTTCTGTCCATAAATTTAATAATTTATTTAGGCTGTAAGCAGCTGTTGAGGAGCCAACAAAATAAATTATGGTTCCATCATATAGCATTTTATTTCTCCCCTACAAAATCAATAGAATATTACTGTTGTGAACTATACGTATTCTTCATGAATTAATCAGATACCGCTGCTAACTTCTTTTATCCTCAAAAATAATCTTGTTGATAGAAGAGCAATCTGACATGCCTGAAAACTTCCACTCCAAAACAAGCGTCTGTACAGCCCGGTACTGAAACCTATATATATATATAAGACGTAAGAAAATTACTGGTTTGATTAAAACGCATTAATTATAGTTTTATTGGGATTGACAAATATAATCATATATATATATATATATATATATATATATATATATATATATTACTAGTTTGCACCAACTTATATTCTCTTCTATTTTACTGTTTGCTTGAATTTATCTACTTTTTAAGATAATTTTATATACGTCAGTGTTTTCAGTGAATAACGTTTACGTTTTAGACTGACTAATATGTGAAAATTCGGAAAAGAAATTGACTTCAAGAATATGAAATTAAGAATATATTTTTGTGCTATACTCAATAGTACCACTATGGTTTTGTTCTAGAGAGGCTTTTTGATGGAATACTGAAATTCTGTTTGTCACCACATTTCGGAGAGGTCACGTTGACTGACCGGTTCGGATAATTCGGAAAGATAAGCGCAAAAATTCTCTACGACGCTTCAAAATAACACAAAAAATGAAATTGAGCGGTGAAACCAAAGAGAAGCAATACGACGATAAAGACAGAAGATAAGCGATGATTGACAAAAGTGATAAAGAGAGAGAAAGCGTACATGCTACTTTCATGAAATTTTTGACAGTTTTGCCGATAGTCTTCTATCACGGATTTTGAACTTATCAATAACTTCAAGCAGACACATTAGAATAAACATTAATCAGAGTAATACTAAAGATAGGAGAAACGCAAGCAAATATTTCAACAATCAACGTAAGATGATGCTTATAAATAGTAACAGTTTTGCAGTACTTAATTGTGAGAAAAAGTAATATTTGTTGTCTGAAAGTACTTATAATAAACACATGAAACTCAGAGATCATAAAAGGATATTGTATGTTTCGGGAGATAAATTTGTTTGAAACAACTGTTCCCTTTAATAAATTTGGATGTCTTTATTAGAACACGGAGTTTACCTACAAAGTGTGATGTGTTTGCACAATACATTTCGAACAATCCGATCACACATTTATTTGTCAAATCAATTTATATGGAAGAAGGGAAAAATGAACTAAAATAAGTGAAGTGATTAGGAATTTAAGAATTTGAAGGACAATAATTAATAGTGGAGGCGGGATAGAAATTATATAATTAAAATACTCCATTTTTTGAAATTATGTAGTTTCTGTTACACCTGGTACACTACATTTCCACATCTTGTGGATAACAGTTGACACATAATAAGATAAGGATTGCCGAGGGAGATTTTTTTTCTATTTTTGTATACTTTAATTACTCACCTTCATCTATATGGAAACTAATTGTCCAATAGTTTGTGGTGTTTTATTTATACATTATGAATGTTCATTCTTTAGAATAATTTGCATCTATTCTTTTTACGCTGTTTGTTTGTTTCAGCATTTCACTAAGCAATTCTTAAGCGTGCATACAACTGATCTAATAGATTGGAGTGATGAAGAGAAAGATGATAGTGGGGGTGATAATAATAATAATCCTAGTGAATTACATATTCCAAGCGCACACCTTCATCCAGATTCATCCAATCCTGTTAAACAAAACAATGAAAATACAACGGAATATGATAATTCACAAAGTGATATTCGACCAATTGTAGATAAGACAGGCAATGATAATACGAATAATGAAGGTCCACCTATCATAAATACACAATTACAAACAACATCACCAAATAGCAATCAATTTATAGCCGATCCGATTACAGCTAAAACACTCGCATATTCATATAATATTGATAACCATAAAGAAAATATTCAGTTGCCAATGTTTAATGATTTGTATAATAAACCAGCCTCAAATTATTTCCCTGTAGATGTTTTAAAGGCGTTAAGCGAAATTGACAATCGTTTAAATGTAATTGATCAAGTTTCAGTGCAACTTGAACAGGATCATAAACGTAATCAAGAAGTAGGTTTATAAGCAGTTTTGTAGTATATTTTAATGAAGTTATGTGCATATTATCTCATTATTCACTGCATTATACAATATGGTTATGTCTGATATAGTAAAGTTTGTGTAACACATATTTCACCATATGTTGAGTGTTACATTGATTCTGACTGACTTGGTTTGTTGTTTTAGCTACTTAACTTTCTAACTGATAAGTGTGCAACTTATTGAGGAAGTACAGTATAGTTTACACCTATTGAAAACTGCGTATTCAATCAAGCTTTGAAGATCATGACAAATTACAGGTTTTAACGTTAAGTATTTTCATTCCGTGAATTATGTCAAATGAAACTACAAAGTGAGTAATGTTAAGTCCAAACGTAGAATGTTAGTTAATGAAAGTAGACTTAGCTTTAACATCATTTTAACTGATCACAACAATTTTATCACCAATTTCCAATGAAAAAATGTGTTAAGAACAAAAGAAAACTATTAAGAAACCCTGCCCTTCCCTGATAACATTTAACTGATATCTACTTTGTATACGTTCCGAAACTCATTGTATATATGCTACTTTTGTACAATGACGACCATACAGGGTAATACTGAAATATTTACTTCATTGTTACAATTATATTGTATTTATCATTCAATACTTCAGTAAGAACATTACTTCTCTAAAGTGAATGAAATTTCCAGGCCGTAGGTGTTACGAACTTCCTGGAATAATTTGAGCGCCGAGTCAGATTAATTCATTATAAATTATTAAATAATCTGCTGAAGAAGCTGTGGCTTACACAGCGAAACGTTCAGAAATCTTGTTTGATTTTCTTAACACGTATTAATATCAGTAAAAAGTTTGAGCATTGTGGATTAGATGCAAATTCACACTGGTGTACACGGGCAGTAATTTTGCTCGAAATATTACCAATAAATATATTGTGTGTAACTATTAAATATAATTATACTTTATACGCTGGGATTAATTTAAATAATTTATAATGAATGAAATTTCATTTTGATGAAATGTAAATCACATAATCACAATGAAGAAATGAGTTTTGAGTGTAATGTGCTTGTATATGTGAATAACAGTTGACATTTTTTCACACTTTTTCAAACAACAGGTTTTTTGATTCTTCACAGAATTCTATGCAGTATTGTCGAAATCGAAACTGCCAACAAGCAACTGTATTATAACCATACTAAACAAAAGCAACTCCCTTTGACAATTTTGTCTTTTGATCATTTTAAGTTGTAGTAAGGCCTTGCTACTTATTTCTTTGTTATTTAATAAATAGTGTGTAGCATAATTCACTTAACATACGTGTGATGAATAGTTGATTCAGTTGTTTGAACAGAATCATTTTCATTTTATAACTTATTCACTAGGTTTTATACAGTTAGTTAAGACAATTAATTACATTTAGGTCAACCTAAACATTTGATTGTTTTGTAATACTATTCTTATTCAAATAAGCTCCTCGAAACCATCATTGAGTTGAATAAAGGTCAGAATAAAACTGCTGTTTCTGCGCATTTGAACGATTCAAAAGAAGCTATAGTGAATCCTGTACAACAAAGTCAACTGTTGATACCCAGTGAATCCAGCCCAAAAGTTGATCAAATTGATAATGTGTAAGTCTGTTTTTCATTAAATATTTACTGTTTTGTTAAATGCACCCAAAATTCATTAATTATACATTACTGGACAGTTATCAAGCTTCAGTATTATTACTGAATTTTGAATTCATTGCCAGTTAGGACTACATATTAACCTGACCTACTCCTTCGCCAGCAATTCAATTTCCGTTTTTTATTATTGCTTACTTTCTGGTCATTTTTAAATTGTTGATCAAACTATCTCAGGTAACCTTGGTTTGTCAGACTGGAATTATCATAAGAATGTAATGTGATGGTGTAAGGTAAGAAAATAAGTATGAGTTTTAACATAGCTTAACCCTTTCTCGTCTGGGTTACAGTCCCGACATTCTATAGATTTGCTTGATGGACTAGGTGTTAACGTCATTTCTACTCCATATCAATCTTTAAAACTTCGAAGGTATAAATAGATGCAGCCAGCATGTAGTCGTACTTTATTTTGGAGACGTTTGCTATGTATAACTTTGTGATTTAAATGATGCAAGTAATAAAATGGTAATAACAATGATATAAAAGTAATACGAAATTAAACAGTAGGTATTTCGATTCTATAGTTGTGTAAGTTAGACTAACTGTATACTAAGAATTCACATTTATTTTAAACTATTATTTCGTGAGAAAATCTTGTGGTTTACCTCTCCATCTGACAGCATAAGAATGGAATTAATATTTTAAAAGAAACGAGAAATTCTATCTAGCCATTCAGCTAGACATAATTTATACTCTACTCGAAGTGTAACTAGATAAATTGGTATTTTCTGTCACACAATGCCATCAGAAGCTTTTAAACGCTGAACATGAATCCTTTTTCAAAAATTAGGCAGCAATTAAGTGATTAGAGACTGAGGGTATTGATGTCCACGGACAATACGTCATATACTGACGCAAGATCTAATACCCACATCTCCTATATTATTCGTTCCACGTAGACCAAAGAGAAAGCAAAACACTGAATTGATCGTCAAAAATACGAAATATATTTCGGGACCAAAGTCGTAGTGTGAGAATGATTGCTTAACTATCTAGGGATGGTGCACGAACAACAGAACGTATCACGACAACATGCCAAATGACGTGGATGCTTGACCTCGAGCCTTCAGCTAAACAGATTTACTTAAACATTGAGGGTCAGCATCCAATGCTGAGTGATGAATGGTGTGGCTAATAGTTTTAAAGAATCATCTACCGCTACAATTGTATCTGCTTTAAATGCCATTTGTTCAGAAGACTGCTACTGAGATTATTGGCTACGTGGTTAATGCTGAACTATGTTGAAAACCTTTTTTCAAAAATTATTTAATTTCTCAAATTCATTTAAATTAATTTATAACAACGAAAATTTTTGCTTCAGAAAACCGTCAGTTAATGAAACTAAGCATCCTGACATGAAAATCTCTAGTCACAATTTTAGTAATTTATCAACTTCAAAAACAACAAAATCTCCCAGATTAACTCCGAGATCACGTTCAACCTCAGGACATTATTCAGAAGAAAGAGAGAAGGCGAGAAAAGAAAGACGTGAAGTTTCAATAACGCGTCGCTGTGATGAAGCGAAGAAGTTTGTTGATGAAGTACGTTGGAAATTTGCACTATTTACATTCTAATAGAATTTGATATTAAATTATATTTTAGAAAGCAAAAGGATTGAGCGAAGAAATATTTCCTTTTCAATTAGATTCTCATCTCTGGCTCTACTCTAATATATAGCAATGTTGTGTATTCTAATAAACATGCTATATATATATATATATATATATATATATATATATATACAGAGAGAGAGAAGAGTAGAGCCAGAGATGAGGATCTAATTGAAAAGTAAAATTTCTTCGCTCAATCCTTTTGCCTTCTCAAAGTCTAAATGGGGATTTTTTTCTACTTTGAAATTACATTTTGAATATTCTTTTAAGGCTTCATTCAGACGTTCTCCCTGCTGCAGTGACCTTTTTGTTCACCTTAAAACCATATTATCTCTATTCATTTCTAATTGTGATATAATTAGAACTTTTCACTTGATTTTTAATTATTTTGTGGATTGTACAACTACAAAATTGACTGCTAGTCTGTGTCTTACTCACTTCCTGCAATGTCTGTTATTTATAAATTCAAATGCTTGCAGTTGAGAATTATTTTACTAATGCAGAAGCTCTTGAATAAGATATTTAGTTAAATACTAACCGTACAATTATTTCATAAAATTCAGGCTGCGTCAAATAAGTGTACGAGTCTAAGAGTTTTAAACACTACAGGGATAGCATTTTTCTCTCCTTTAATTTAACTTGTTTTTTTAGCACTATTCTACTGTTCCTCGTGAAAACCTTAGAGTTTAGATTTTTAGTTGTAATAGTTAACATAATGAGTCTTGTTGAAAGAAGGATAGAGAACTGTAATGAGTAGGAGTTATCGAAACTTCAAGATCATCTATTAACTAGTCTTGGAATTGAATTAACTGGTGATTAAAACAGAAACAAAACCAGTCTGACTGCATTCAAATTCTCTCACAACCTAGATTTTCAATATACACCTCAGTCACTACCTAAATAAGACATAAATTCAACATTAACAATCGCAGCTACTTATGAGACAGTCTCAGAAATAATCCTGTACTTCTTGGCAAAAGTCTATCGTTATTCTGAGCTTCATAAATATGTTGTCTGAGTTTAGCTGCAAAATGCTTCTTTAGAATGCACATGTTATTTGAATATTTCTTTTCAACTGATCCAAGTTTTGGCGTAGAATATAAAAGAAATATTTGATATAAGTATAAAACTTGGGCACTGTGGTAGAGTATAACTCCATTATGGATAAGATTTTATTTTGATAAATCACACAGCAATGTACAGTAATATTTACTGATGATGTTTCGAGCGTAAATTATTGCTCATAATCATATCAAGTCACTCACACAACGTTTTGCTTCATTTATATACATGAGTAAAAACTGATTAGACATTTGAACAAATATCAATATAAGATATAGTACATTCGGAAATAACATCAGTGTTATTAATAAAATACAATCAGATGGGATATAAGATGCAAAAATAAGTAACTTTTTAGAATGTTATAATGTGAATTTAATACATTTTAACATTATTTATTATCCTATTCTGATTTGACTGTTAATAACATCTTCCATATCTCTGGTTACAGAGCTTGTCTCTGAGTGAGTTTGTAGGTTTGAATGACACCCTAATTCCTGCTTTATTGAGAATCCTACATAAAGTCTTAGATATCCCCTCCTTATATGATATAACTGTTGATGCCTTATATTCTTTCTTATTTATGTTATCATTATTAGTTTCACCATTATTTTTATTTTGCTTTTAACCTTTTTTATATTCCTAATGAACTTTATGGGATAGTTATTTAACACCAACGTCTCTTCTATCTGTTTCATTTTATCGTTTAGTTTTTTTTGTCGTACTACTTATTGCTATTGTTCAGTTTGTTAAACACTTAACGAAACCTGCCTGTACAGATAACTGATGAGATGAATTAAAGTCTAAATATCTACTAGAAAGCGTTGGCTTTTTATAAACGCTAGTGTGCAGTTTACCTTCTTCTATTCGTTTTATTTTACAACCTTACATAGCTTATCCTCCTTGTTTATTTTCCGACTCAAATGTAAATTTTATTCCTTTTACTAGTGAGTATATATGCGTCAAGAAGCTAGATATATGTTTTGTTTTTAACACTGTGAAAGTGTCATCCACATACCTCCACCATATTTTTGGAGTAGGATTAAATGTATTAAGAGCAATATTTTCCCAGCTGTCCATAAATGTATATAAATTCAGCAAAAAGTTGTGTGTGATTTGATACGATTATGAGCAATAATTTGTGCTCGAAACGTCATCAGTTAATATAACTGTACAACACTGTGTGATTTATCAAAATAAAGTCTTATCCATTATGAAACGAAATATTTATTTATTTCGGTTCCATTCTCATTCGCATTATTTTTGAATGCGTCGTACACAGACTGTTGCTGTGGTAATATATATATATATATATATATATATATATATATATATATATAACTTATATGGATGTTTCTCTGTAGATATTTCTCATTATATATGTAAACCTATCATCAGATTTATTTCTGCAGAACTAGTGTGGTATTTTGGGGGAATTCAATGACAGAGTATATTGAGTGCCTACTACTCTTAATTTTCTCCCAGCAGTACAATTATTTGTAGTCAGACTATGATGAGAAATGCTTACTGTGACAAAAATCCAAAGTAAATAGGAAGTTAATGATTTAATTACATTTCATTTTCATGCTTGTCTTCATTTAAAATATCTATGCACTGCACACACTACTTCACATGTACGTAGCAACCCCTTTTTGGTATTTCTGTAAAACGCTTAGTCGTGTGCAGTATTCCACGTTTCTCATATGCTTTTAAGTTGAGATGTAACCTGAAAGGTAATCATTATCTTTAGTGGGCGACTATCGTCTTTCTATCACACCACATTTACATCAATAACATGCTCACTATGAGACATAAATTTACCGATGCTGTATATGTGGATTGCTGACAAGTTCTTTAGTAAGACCATTTACTGCTTCTTTGTGTTAAGTGGGTATCTAGGTGATGTTGATTCACCATACATTTTGCCATTACTCAAACTGTTTTTTGTCATGAAGATTCCACCTTCACTTCGGTAACTATTTTCCTTTATTCTACTATTACCTACTTCATTTTTGTAAACTTTTTAAATCACAACTAGTACCAATACAGTACAGCATACTTTTATGTCCACACTACACAGAATCATCTGACAGGGCTAGCTGGATTTATAAAAATAACATTTTACAGAGGAAGGCAAGGTAGAAAGAAATAGATTATCGTCTTCTAGAAAAAACGAACGAATTTTCTAAGTTTATTCTACTAGACTCATTGATGTCACTGTAAAGTAGAATTGCATTTGCAACGATAAAAGTTTGAAAGCTAATGCACAAAAGTGTTATGCTTATATGCTCTAGTTTATCATATATATCTGTAAGTACTCTTATTACATATTGTAGACTTTAATTCTCCTTTGCTTGAATTTTCAGATTTTATTGGACAGTCACCTACCAGTACAATCGTCACCAATATTGCATCCAAAATTAAGCATTGCTAGGACATCAAGTGCTCCAGTAAGTGCAAACTGGTTCTGAGTAAGCTGATATTTTTGGAACTTTTGTTAAAATATTTGTTCGATAGTTGATAATAAAGGCAAAGTTTATATCCTGTATACTGCAGTCTTAATTAGACCATAAAACAAATGTCTCAAAATTATTTTGATCTGGTAAATAATGAAGCTGAGCTACTTTATGCAACATGTTAATCAGTATTCTTTAAGCTTCGAATTTTCCTGTTTTATTCATTTTGTAGGTCTCAAGAGGGCGAGGTCAAGGCCGTGTTCGTGGTGCACCAAGACTTTCAACTTCACGTGCTTCTTCAAAGAATTACAATGTCCTGACTAGTCCTAAGCCACCTACTCCTGCTCGTTCTGTTAGTAGTCTGCGAGGTGGAGTTAGAGCCAGGGGAGTACGCAATGTCCCAGCAGACAGAAGAGTTCCAGCGGCAGGTAAGTGCTATGGTTATTTCTGTTTTGTAGGTGTTTTAAAAAATAAGCAGAAGTTGAGTAACTCTTTTTCTTTAACTTTACTATTTCAGTATAATTATTTTTGTTAGTATATTAATACAGGACATTAGTAAGCTTTCAACGTCAATTTTATGTTTGTGATTTACTGTTTTGCCTTGTTTCACTATTTCATATCTCGTATAATAATGACTACAAATTAAAACAGTCATTGCCTTTAATAATTTCGGTACTGTTATTAGAAGACACAGTTTATCCAGAAAATGTGACGCGTTTACGTAATACATTTCGAACAGTCTGATCATACATTTACTTGTCAAAATCAATTTATGTGAAAAATGAAAGGCAAGTAAAATAAACAAAGTAATTAGGGATTTGAGAATAAGAAGGATAATAATTAATACCACTCTTGATAATATAATCAGATAAGGATTATCATCAAGCAGGTTGAGGTGTAGCAATAAACTGCTTAATTTTACTGTTAGCTGAAATATGCTGAGGCGATAGTTATCCATCCATATCTTGGTTGGTATTAATAGCTGCAAGACGGTGAACAATGTCATGGTCTTTTTTATTCTATTCATGAAAGTATATATTACATTATACCTACATTTGTCTTTATTATAAGGTCGTCTAATGTTGACTGCCTGTAGTGATAATGATCAAGATTTTACTACTTAAGCAGAAACTGATCCCCTCGGAAATCTACATAGTTTTTGTTGTCATTCCCGATTTTTTGACAGATAACTTCAGGATTAGGGAGTGTAACAGTGCTGTTAAACATAAATGTTGTCACACTTACAAATTCTTAACGTCCTGCCTTTTTGATACGAACTATACAAGCACACCATCAATAAACAAGGTAGTAATTTATAATAATCATATATTTATATATGCTAAAGATTTCGATATTTCATGAGATATTAAGCTTGAGAAGGAAATATAAAGTCTTCAAGTCTTAGCGTGCTTACTACTGAGCTGCACTTACTGTCTGTCTGTTTTCGACATAGAACTTTGCACATATGTGCGGCAGTTCAAGTCGCCACACTCCATGTAGCACACAAAACAAGAGAAGAAAGTAGAAATGCATAATAGAGACAGTAAACAGAGGTGTGAGACAAAGGAATAGTAATAACGAAGAACAAAACAGTTTCATTGGAAATCATAAGTCACAAGGAGTGGATGCATCTGCGCCACTGAGAACGATTTTGAGCCATATCACCAATTGTTTCCAACCATTGGTTTTTACCGTCCCGAGGACCCCAACCAGGAAGTCTACACCTTCCTACGTGGCTTAGACTAACTGTTGTAGATTTCATTGACTGGTGTCATGTTTTGGTTTGACCGCCGCTAGCTCTTTTCCAGCCTGGCCCTATATCAGCTAACATTGCCCATTGTCGAGGAAGGCGATGACTAGGCATTCGTAGCACATATCCTAACCATCTCAGTCGATGTAATTTCACAGCCTCGTCGATTGATTTCCCCGCCTTACCTAGCACTCGACGCCTAACCTCAGTATTGCTCACCTTATTATACCACTTCACGCGGGAGATAGAACGCAGACACCTATGATCAAAGACAGCTAATCTTCCACTCTCAACGGCCAGGTCTCACAGCCATAAAGGAGGACGGAGCAGACTGATGAGCAGTACACACGCCCTTTGGTCGATAGTCAGATATCACGTCTACGCCAGAGACGGCGTAAACTGGCATATGCGAAACTAGCCCTCTGTATTCGTGCTGAGATTTCGTCAGAGATCAACCCGTTGGCACTGGCTGATGGTACTTCCCAAGTAAGTGAAGCGGTCAACGTGCTCTACCACTTCACTTCCTATTTCTAATCTAGGAGTCGGTGTAGTTCAATCCTGTAACATCATCTTGCATTTGGTGGGAGCGAATCGCATGCCAAACATTCGTAGATTGCAGCTGCACGTACGAATCGTGATTGAAATCATTTCCAAACGAACATTTTATTCTAGATTACTTCACTTGAAAAATCGAAATCGACATAAGACAATCATGCGGGACTTGACGATTTTTCCGGTGTTTCCTTGAATCCATCACTGGCGCCCATTCTGAGCACTACGCAGGATGTAAACTTGGACAAGCGAATCCTGAACGCCACTGACCACCCAACAGTGTTTACTTACTAATCTGTGAAAGTTCCAAAGATAGCTTCATCATTATCTAATGTCATTGGCGAAGCGAAAAGCTCTTCTTATACTTTTACTGACTAGTCCATTCGCGAAACACATTTACCCTGTGTACTTAATAATAATAATTTGCTTTATTCCAAAACAGTTCTTGTGATACAGAATGGAATTCTCACCATTTTTACTACAGTATTGCATCCAGTTAGTATATTATCAATAAATAGAATTCTACATAGATTAAAGAAATCTCAGTTCATTATTACAACAACAGATTGGCATGTCGGTAGCAAAGGTAAAGCTAAACAGTGTTTGAAAGTATTAGAAAAGTAGGTGTTATCATATTTCCTGGCGTAAGCGAGAGAAAGAAACAAAGCAGCACATAAGGGAAAAAAAAGAGAGAAAAGGAAAAGAAAGAAAGAAATGTTGTACCTATAAATGATATGAGTTGGAAAGACGACATCCAGTTGTTCTACTGACTATTCAATGAATTATAGGTGTCACGCCTAATGCTTTCTTTATCGCACAGAACACGAGCTAAGTAGGGTATGCTTGCTGGTGCGAGCATATAGTTTTCTATATAGGCTTCTGGTTTTGCCTGATGAGATGCAAGGGGAGAGTTGTGAGTGAAGAGGGTGGTGTGAGTTAGGTAAAATGGATTTGGCCCATTTTTCACATGAGTCCATGTGCCTGTCGACCAGAATATTAACAAGCTGGTTAAGTGACACGTTGCTTACCCTGCTGACAACCTTTAACATCCCGCGTAATATGTCTTAGTCTTTCTTCAGTAGCCCGGGAAAAACTAAGGGGGAACAATAGAGAATAATAGGTAGAATGCGAGAGTTAACGAATTGTAGGAGTAAGGGTTGGGAAATACCAGAATGTTTTAACTTCTTGATGTAGAAGGTAAGACGGAATATTTTCTTAGAAATCGCCAAAATATGAGACGACCAGGAAAGATCAGCAGATAGAATGACTCCTAGGTAATTAATTTCCGACTTGGTTTCTATTTCAGTGCCATCTATGTTGCATACTTCGTGAGAGCCAACCAGTTTGTTTAGGTCGGATTTATGCCTAAAGGTGAAATTGACTGTTTGGCATTCGGATGGGTTTAAGGTAAGACCGTTTTCCTTGGACCGCTGGCTGATTTCTGACAGAAAGCCATTAGGTTTAGAGCAGTCGCTTGACATTTGACAGGCAAAGATACTGTCAGGTCGTCAGCATATTTGACAAAATTGATGTCATTTGAAGATGGTAAGTCATATAGAAAGAAAGAAAAGAGAAGTTTACTAATTTATCCATTTTTGCTTTAAGCATAATATGCAGTTGGTAAAAAAAATTGATGTTTATATGTTTCGAGCACATTACACACGAAAATGTTACCTATAAAACTGTTTTTCGTGTTGTTATGAAAACCAGATAGTTTAGCAAAACATTAGACTGTCGATATAACTTTGTATACGTAACCCAAATTGTTGATGAAAAAACCAGCTTGGTGTCATAATGCTGTCTCTTCTGTAGTTGGTGTAATTCTCGTCAGCCGTTTTTAAAATTTATTCCCTCTTGATTCAGGTGTGAAGAATTCACTAAAGGAAATCAGGTATAAAATCACAGTACGTTTGGATGACTTACTTTAGGTGATTTAACCATAATTATGACTCATAGTGCATTATCTCTAATTTACTTGATTAAAGTTAATTGTTGCTTTACATAAACCTCTTTACCATTTTAATTAAGCTGTGCTCGACTAATAGCTCGAGCCTAACAAGATTTTACTTGAGCATCCATGAAAAGTTACAAAGTAGTGCAAAAGTTCTGTCAAGGTGTTGTTGATTTGTGTTGGAAAATATCGTATCATTCGGTTGGCAGATTAAAAATATGTTGTATTTTTCATGATTTTTTATCCCCTTCTTCACGGCAGCTTTACAGAAATCCTCCATGATGGACAAGCCACAGTCCTCTTCACCAAAACAATCAAATTATGAAGATGATCTACAAACAACAATTCTAAGTGACTGGTCATTAGAAAGTGATGTAAAAAGAATACTTTACGGAGATGAAGATGTGAGATTTCTTAGTTCATCCAAAGTTCAACATTTCGGTGATGATGTTAATTCCAACCAGGTCAGCTTGTGTACACTGTATGTTATACGTTTGTTGAGACTAACTACTGTTGAAACCTAAGCCTTAAGAACAAAATTACCTCATATTTTGGCTGCAATTTCGAAACATTTGTTATCTATTGCGAGGTTACGTTGCAAACTGTTTAGTGTAATAAGTAATATTATCATTATTAGAGCTCTGGAAGAGCTTACACCTCTTTTTTCCACAATTCACATGACGTCTACGTGATATTATAGTCTATAGTAAATGCAAATGTTAGGATGCTGTATAAGATTTTGATGTCGTTTATCTAATTACCTTTATTAAACTTCCTCTGTAAGGGTCTGGCTGTGTTGTTGACATGTCGCACTATACCGTCCTTACTAGTTACAACGTGCCATGTGCTCACTTAATCAGTGTAATATCCAACCAGCCAGTACTGATAACGAAACGCAAATCTGAAAGATTTAGTCTCTTTGAAATATTTTCTGATAAGCAATATGGTTAAATAGAATAAAACATTAAGGTTATTTGGGGAAAACAATTTAGGACTTATTAGGCTAGTATGGTTAGACTATAGACTGTAAGGATGTACGTGTTAGCAGCACAAAGGAGAAACACAAAATGGCATCCAAACCTGATCGGTCGAGTGGCCACTAAAGCAAAATTTAAAACACCCTCAGGTGCCCCAGACATTTATCTTATTAACACTAAGTTAATTCGCTTTCATCTACTAATTTTAGTCTTACGTTTATTTTGGTATTGCGGATGGTGCACTGCAGCCTTTCAACAACTTGAAATTATTCAGTTAGACCCTAGTTCTCCTCATCCCCACCATCAACTTGATTGATTAAACTTTGAAGTAGGTGTAAGAAGCCTTAACACCACCACAGTGCACAGAAGTATATTGCTGTACAGCTTAGCGACTATATGGAATGCTTAATCACTAAATTCCACTCAACACTCTTGAGACTTGAAAGTTTACTTGGGACAAAATACCACTGAGTACAAGATTTATTACTGCCAGTATTACTATGATTATCTGACCTTCGTCTTAATATATTAATAATTTTCAAATTAGCATACAATTGGTATTCAAGTTAACTTATTATTTTGTCAGGATTACCAAGTTCCACAAAGTCCCCATTCTGTGCCAGAAACGGATCTACTCACTGAAGTTGGTGGTGTTCCTAGCACAAGCTTTATCGACTGGGATGAAATTGATGAGCTAATTGGTGCAGTATGACATCAAGTGACTTCTTTTTTATATCGTACGGGTCTGTTACTTTTCTCTGTAAAACAAACATTTGTCAATTGATTTGTTCTAATAAAATATATATCTCTGCTTTAAAGTTTTTTTTATCTCAAAATCAAAACGATACTTATTTCAGTATTAGTTAGCGTATACATCTTTTCTCATCAACGTGTGGTGATTGCAGCACAAGGGAATTTTCCAATTACTGGAGTAAAGTTCGATACTTTTGTAAACGAAAGATACAGCTGATGTAAGTCACAGAGAAATCAGTTACTGTCATTCTCAAAGTATTATATAATACTTTACAGAATGCACTGACTTTTAAGCTCTTTACTAGCCCCACCTTTGTTAAGCAAGTTAATAGATGTACACTCTTTCTGAGGAGTTATGCACTAAAAACGCTGTTTCCATCAGGCCGAACACGTTCAAAAACCAGTTGTCGATGGATATTCAAAATCAGTTGTAAGAATCTCCCGAATTTTAGGAAATAAATGTCACTTCCTAAATCTTATGTACTTGTAGGACACCAACTTTAGTAAGAACTTGTTGCAAGGACCAAACTCAGTGCATGATTCTCACTTAGATATGACTATTATATAATGTATAACAGAGCATACAGCATCACGACTTAACCGAAAAATCTTCTATGAAACATGCACTCTACCAGTTTTACTTATATTCACGGACTTTTCTTACGAACCGATTGCTTTTTGATTCTAAGACATGGCAAACGGCATGCTCAAGGTGGTGACAAAGCGAACTGAACATTTCTACTTTATTTCGAATACTTCTTGATTTTACATTATGCTGCCGATTATAAAGAGCACATGCTACATCTCTTGAGCATTAATAATAACTGAAAAGTAGTAGAATTAAGGTGAAAAAACGCACCGAACTTTTAGCTACTGTTACGTGGCCTGAGATAAAAAATACATCTTGTCGTGGCCATCTTACGTTAATATAATATAAATAATTCACTACGTTTGCTGATGATTAGCTTTCTCACTTAGTTATCTAAACAAATATGCACAGAATCAGAAGTGTATCATTCTAACATTCTAGATAGTTTCTAGAGTTGCAAAAGTATATTTTCTGAATCCGCTTGTATTATTGAAGATTTAGTTAACGTACCATTTAGTTAGCGGGTACTTGTGTAAAAACAGATGTTAATCCCAGTTGAAGGTACTGTTGATAAAAGGAAAATTGAAAACCAGTACGACTATTCAGAGGCACGTGAAAAAATTTCCAGTTCAATGAGTGGTTACATCACAGCAGAATTTAGCTGTAATCTTGATGGTTACAACAACTTCCTGCATTTCAGAAGTGCTTGATAAACTTGTTTGCACCACTAACTTCGTCACAGTTAACTTACCTCAACAGCTCTTCTTCAAATTTACCTTGCCCACACTCATACTTTACTCTGACTACATACGATGGTTATTATGTTTCTTTATTTTATGTGATGAAGACTCTGTTAGACGTGAAACATATAAGTTACTATGTAATTAACATAGTGAATCGACCCTTTCATTGTTCATCTTTCTGTAATTCTATGGTGTCACCCTTTCTATCGTTTAATTATAACTTTGCTATTTTTATTTTAGTTGTTATTACTATAATTTTATACTTTATGCGTATTTTTCTCTTTATCGTATATTGTAATTGCTACATAGCTCCTATAAAAACGTTTTGTTATCATTATTATGTATTAATTATTTCGTTTATCTATTTTTCTTTTTTTTGTTGTTGTTCTCGTTTTCGAGTAAATTAGATGCAATACTGTACTGAATGCTGAAAATTCCTTGCTGTATCATTAATACTGTTTTTGGAATAAAGCAAAAATTATTATTATTATTATTTGAAGGTCCATTTGACTTTATAGATCAGGTAGAATTATAAGAACACATGGATCCGAAGAAAGAGATTAATTTCGATTAAGGCATTCCATTTTAACTCATGCTAGCAGGAAGGGATAATACAGAGTTGCCAACCGATCTTTGCGAAGTGTTATTATTTTAATTCTATTAGTAATCGACTCAGGGCCACGAAAAGAATTATATGACTCAGCATACGCACTGAAATATTACATTCTTTCTAAGCGAACTTAATATGTGCACTAAGTGCTGTTGAATACAAATATACACTAAAAGGCTGGTTTCCACTGACTTAATCGTATATATATACCCTTCATCCCACAACGCCACGTCATGGGCTGACCACCTCACCGCTTTTTCCATCCCGTCCTAGGGCTAGTGAACAGAGACCTGGACGGAAGCGTCTACCCAGATACACAAACTTATTGACAACTGCAAGTGTTTCACCTGGAAGAGTGAGTGCAGGTACAGGCTCCTGCCAATCTTGTAGCAGTACTTTGCACTTAGATGGCGCAAAGCACATACCATACTTACAGACACTGATCACCAACTGATTAAGTGCGATTTGGGCAGCCTGCATGCTATCGCACAGTAAAACGATATCGTTTGCATACCTGAGGTCGAAAAGTCTATCTCCAGGGAGCAGATCTACAATCACGCAATCCTTCAGAGCTGACTCCAGAATGTCATCGATGGCAAAGTTTAAGAGAAATGAGGAGATTGGGCAACCCTGTCTAACTCCACTGTTGATTGGGAACAGTGATGATAGTTGGTTCTATGCCCTCAGTCTACCTGAGGTGTTTCTGTATAGGACTTTCAAGATGTTAACAAACTTCTCGGGTACACCCCTTTCTAACAGACAGTTCCAGAGCACAGTTCTATCCAACGAATTTAAGGCAGCCCTAATATCAAGAAACACAACGATTGTTGGCCTGCAATACATGTGGCAGTGTTCCAACAACTGACGAAGGATGAACACGTGATCAATACATCCACAACATGAACGAAACTCAGCCTGGTCTTCGCGAATCAATCCTTCACGTGTTTTGCATACCCTGCGAAGCAAGACAACAGCCAATATTTTAGACCCAACTGGTAGCAGACTGATACCCCTATGGGTTACGTCGACCCTTTTCAAAGATGGGACGATAATGGTTTTATTCCACATTGATGGAACATTCTCTTAGTCTGGCATACTTTCCTGAATAATCTAGTTAAGCCATGACGACGGTCCCCTCACCATCTTTAAAAAGAGCCGGGGGTAGATTGTCCGGGCCGGGTACCTTATGGAGTTTCAGTACTTAGAGTCCCTCCCGGACCTCAGCTTCGATTGGTAGGTCAGTACTGACCGACCAAGGAGCACTGCAGCTAGTGACATTGGATCCTGAAGTTAGTGGTAAGCTAAACTGCTTCTCAAAGTGCTCTGCCAAGCGTTCTAGGCGTCTCTTCATACTGGTAATTGGCATGCCGTCTGCCTCACAGACAGTCTCGCTAACATCTTGTTTCTTGCTGCCGGTGGCTTGGATGAGCTGGAACAGCTTGACTGTTGCCAGATGCAGCTGCTAATTTCACCTAACACTTACGTTCTGACCACCAGGTTCGCGGTCCTTACGTAAATATCGTCTAATCTTGCGCGTAGGCATATTGTTAGGTCGGCTGCCAGCCTGAATGGAACAGTGTTCACCCAAGAATTGCAAGGAACTAGCAGAAACCCAGTGGTTTTTAGAAGACCATTCTTTTAAGCCGCAAGTGGCTACACTCGCCGTTTACATGGCTTCTTATAGATGAAGCTAATGTTCATCTATGCTACTTGGGGGTTGCAAAGAAGTAGGAGGTGCTACTAGTCTGCTTATATCAATGTTTAGATGGCACCGTTTATGAACTCCACCAAA